GCAATGCAAAAAAAATCCCTATCTCCCTTATTGTTGAGATGTTTTAATCTATTTTTAAGTAGTTCATTCCTTTGATGTTTACAGAAGAACGAATTTTGATTTACTAAGAACATCCCTGAAAATTTGTGCGCTTTTTGCAGGCAAACTGACCCAGATAGTGTTTGGACATCGGGATGTGGTGACGTGTCTGGCACGCTCAGAGTCGTACATCGGGGGCGACTGCTACGTCCTGTCAGGCTCGCGAGATGCCACCCTGCTGCTGTGGTACTGGAACGGAAAGCACAGCAGCATCGGAGAGAGCCCAGGCAGTAAGTGCACCGTCTGATATGAGAGCGTGCGCACACACACACACACACACGCACGCACGCACAAAGCTCTTCACCGAGCTCTCTCTCTCGCAGACAGATGTGACTGTGTGATTTACGGCCTCCCTCTGTAAAGTAACAACTAGTTTCGTCTGACCAGGCTAGGCCTCCTGCATACAGATTGGATTTCGCAGCCCTGTCGCACCAGGAACAGCTTTCGATAATGTGTCTGAGATTGCGTGCGTGTGTGTGTATTTCTGTGAAGCCAGATATGGTGTGTAGTGTGTGTGAGAATCTGTCTTTAATGTGAGTGAAAGTGAGGGCCACTTAGAGACGTTATATGTGATGTTGGGGGTCGTCGGGCAGCACATGAAAGTTCACCACCATCCGAGGGCCACAGGGTCACGTTAGTCGATAAAAGTGAAAAATGTCATGGGCCTCCCTTACGTTACCATAACATATGGCATTAGCCATGATCAAAGCATAGCGCACACATTGCTCGGTCCTTAGCCCCCACGGTGCTAATTTGGTCGGCTTAGATTGGCGGACATGTTGATAAGTGATCCATTACAAGTGGGATGAAATTTATGACAAATTGCGATTTGGTTAATAAGCCATATTGGTTTATGATAGTGCAGATGATGGTCATCTAACACATCCATACACAGGATTTTAGAGCAGAAATACACAAGATCTTTTTAAAACATATTTAGTGGATAACCAGTGGTTTAAAATACTGCTTTAGCTGCACATTTTCTACAAATAACAAATATATGAATATGTTTCCATGCATGTGCTGTACATGTCCTTGCAAGTGCTTGTGTGTCAGTCTAAACTCCTGGTTATCAAGCTGAAGCTAGAGGAACAGACAAAGCAGTCGTCATCTCATCCCATCACCACCACAATGTGATGCTCCATTGCCCCAGACCGCAGAAAGCTCTCCCAGACATGAACTTCTGCTGCACACACACGCGCGCATGCACACATACATATACTAACAAAATGTATACAGACAGCAGACCTTTCTTTATTCCTCTCCCACAGACACACGTTAAAGCTAAAGCCTGCACACACACACACACACACATTCCTTTGCATGCATAATGTTCTGTGGGCATCCCACTCACTTCATAAGCTTGACACAAATACATCTGAATGGCTGATATGCACATGCACACAATGACCTATCCCCACTTTGTTCCTGCTGCAGCCACATGTTGTGCACAGCAAAGATTTTACAGACGCTATCGCCATCTGCTGGGCACCTAACAGGAATCATCTGAGTGTGGTATTTACTCAGTAACTACAGTATTTCTGTTATTTCCTCTTGTTTTGAACGCACCATATGAGATAATAAATGTACGTAGGTTCACTTCTGCCACTATTAAGGCCCAAAAATGAATTTCTTTTTAAACACTGAACACAAAGAAACAAAGAAGCTGCCAGTGTAATAATTACATCATAAATTATTTTTAATTAGACTTCATGAACTGGCATTTTATCCACCTCATTTTAAACAAACAAATGAAAAGAGATATTATTGAAGTGAGGGGTCATGAGACTGTGATCACCGTGGTAGATAGCTTTTGCTCCTCCAAGTATTGAGGTGCATAATCTGAGGGGACGACAAGCTAAGGTGGTGCGTCCACCCTTAAAACCTCTACAGTGCCATGATTGATATAGAAGGAGGAAGAATACTCATCCCTTTATTCCATCTTTCTGAGGAATCTAATGAGACAAACACAGACTGCTTGAAGACACATAACATATTTCATATTCTGGGCGTGAACTGTTACTCCCTAAGAGATGCTATAGAGCCAATAAATGCAAAACCAGCTGTCCCTACTTCTAAAAAACTCTTAGCTGTTGTCATGTGTAAATCTGACTAGTATCCAAATGCAGTGTGGTTTAATTTGGTTTATATATTTGTGTTATGTAATTTGTGCCAAATCTGACTTTCACCTTTTCATTTTAAATGCTTTAAATGCTTCCCCAGTTATTTTTCCTGGTCTACATTCATTTATACACACAACACACTAACACAGTGTCTGCATGCAGCTGAACTTTCTTTACTAATGGGTTTAGTTTTGTGCTTTTATAATTGGTCTTTATTTTATTTCATTGTGAATCAAATGAATAAATACAATAAAATAAAACAAAGTTATACAAAAATTAAAATATAGTTCATGACAATACAAAACCAAGTTAAAACAAGGAACAAAATAGAATAAAACGGAGTCAAAAACAGTTAAAAACTGTTATCTCAACAGAAACAGAGTTTTTTGGGTTTTTTTAAATAATTGTTTATTTTATTTTATTTGTAATCTCTTAATAGTTTGAATATAGGGTTGTTACTCAGGGGCACAATCAAGAATTTCAGATTTGGTATTAGATGTATGTATGTATGTAGATGTCTCAAACACACACACACTTCTCGTGTTTAATGTATTGACACATTCGGCCTGTGTTTTTTATTTACTTGTATTTTTGTTAGTTTTTAAAGTGAAACGTTTCATTTCAGTTACTTTTACATTTCAGTTTGTGTTTTTGTGTCAGTTTGCTAAAATGTTTTTTCCACGCCTAATTTTCGTTTTTAGCTTAGAAAACAATTTAAGTATTTTTGTCAAATATGAAGACAAATCTTCTGGGACAACAAAGAATATTTTGTCTTAAGCTACAGCCTCCAAAGTGACCTTGTAGTTGGATCAAAATATCATTTTAACATAAACTCCTATATTCATTCAGTTTTAGTTGTAGTTGTTTCCAATTAATTGCTTACAGTTTGCGACAACTTTTCAAAGGAAAGTCTTAAATGACATTGCATTTGATAACTGAAAGTAAAAGTGAATAATAGGCATGCTCAGTATAATTTACTACATGGGTATGTTGTCTTACACTTTTCTGTGTTGCTAAATTGATACTCGATTGCTTTGGCGCGCACAGTTTTGGAAAAGTTTTATTAAGCATTCAAGCGTGTGCAAGTGTCCTTGTCTTTTTGAGCTGGACTGAAAAGCTGAGGTTGCGGAAGACCACCTCTCGATATTTAAAAATGCAGTCCAAAGATGCAACTGTGCGTATGAGCGTATTTATGCCAATGCGTGTGCTTACAGACAGAAGACAGATGGAGAAGTAACAGCCGATTTTGTTTTGTCGCTCACCCTGACAGCTCAAACCAAAACAAAATCACACAAACTTCATAACGCACTCTTTTTTTCCTTCTGGCTCTCATTCTCTCTGTCAAATGCAGAAACATCTGGATCGAGTGAAGGCAGCGAGGGGGAGAAGGTTTTAAACATAAGAGGAGGCCCTTGGTGACAAGTGCTTGAAAGGGAGAGTGAATGAGGGGAGAAGCAGGCTTAAAGACTGTGCAACAAGTCCCAGCGCATCCGTATAAAATAACATGTAAAACACCCTCCAGGATGATGAAATTAGCAATTTTATTTTTGGTTATTTTTGAAAGCCCACCTCTTTTTTTAAAAAATTTTTTTTTTTATAGTTTGGAGGGAAAATTTTTGTAGCTTCAGCTGTGACTGCAGTTGGAAGACTAAACCAACCAAGGAGAATTTTAATTTTTTCTATACCTGCTTCTAGTGGCCATAAAGCAGTACTGCATATGGTAATACCAGGATTGTCTTCGCTTTGTTTGTGTTTTGCCAGCAGACTTTACCACACCGAGGGCCATCCTTACAGGCCACGACTGCGAGGTGACTTGTGCAAGTGTGTGTGCTGAGTTGGGTCTCGTCATCAGCGGCTGCAAAGGTGAGACTGTTTGTCCCTGTAAAAATGTAAGGCTACACTTGTGCTGCTTGCTGTGTAAAACTAACAATGCACAGGAGGAGACAAAGGACAAATCTCAGTGGCCACTATATTAGGAACACCTGCAGAGTATGTGAGCTGTGTATGAGCAGATGGTTTTTCAGAGATGATGGACAGACGTGTGGGAATAACAGCAATTATATAAACAAGATATTTAGGTCATTTTTTTCTAAATAACTGAGGGAAAAGAGAAGATATAAGTATTTCTACTATAGGTGTACAACTGCACCAAAGATTAAAAGAATAAGCTAAAAACAAACTTTAAAAAGTCATTTATGCTTAAATCAAGCTGCGGATTAATTTGTTCTAACCTCTCGTCTCATCTGTGTATAGAGGGTCCTTGTCTGATCCATTCCATGAATGGGGACCTGCTGCGGACCCTGGAGGGACCAGAGCGCTGCCTCCGGCCTCGCCTCATCCAGTCCTCCGCCGAGGGACACTGCGTTATCTATTATGACAAGGGACAGTTTTGCCTCTTCAGTGTCAACGGCAAACTGCTGAGGCACATGGAAGTGGAAGACGGCGTCAAGGTGAGGACACGATCACACACATGCGCCTGCACATGTGCGTCTGCACTGCATCAGCATAGAAAGTCCTCTCCCTGATTAAAAGCTCGGTCTTGGTTTTAGATGCGAGCGAGGTAAAGGTCGCTGTGCCCCGGGACAAACTTACAGCCTCACATCTGTTCTTTCCTTTTCACCCGCATTACACCAGAGGAAAGGCCTCTTTTGATCCGGAGCTCTGTTGTCAGGTCAAATTGCGTTGGCGACGCTGGCGGAAAACATTCCAGAGGAGTGGTCAGCTCTGGACACCAACACCATTAACTACCCTCCAGCGCGAGACGACACATTCCCCATTTCCCACATTTCCTCCCTCGTGGCTCGGGTGACATAAGATAGCGACTACTGCCTTTAGTTTCCCGACCCGATGTGTCCGGTTTGGCCTGGGAAATGTAAGCTAGCTCTGACAGGCAGCCGCGTGCCTGTTTCCTATTAAGAAAGCTCTTGTGCCCAGGCTCCTAACCTGCCAACCAGCCCCGCTCCCACACAAAGCCACAAATATACTCAAATACTGACGGAGTGCATTACAATCCCTGTGAAACTAATGCTGGATGCAAAATCCCTTTGTGTCTTTTAGAGAAACTAACAGCGTCCTTCAGACAGTTTTTGAGCTTCACAGTTTTTTGGTTTCTTTCTGAAGATGAAACTTGGGAACAGTTCAAGCTACTGGCGGCCTTGTCGGCTCTCCTCTGCTGCTGTAAATTCCAGTCGTGTCAGATGGCATTAGGAGAATCCTAATATCTTGGAGTGAGGCTGTAAGAGTCTCAACTCCCTCCCTTCCGCCTGCCTCACCCTCTCTGCTTCACCCTCCTGGTCTGAGACTCCAACAGTATTTTGTACACTCTGGTACATACCAGAATCAATCTTCTCAGGCCTTGGAGCCTCAGCACAGTAGGGCTCCAGTATAAATAAGTGTTTGTCCTGGCCTGCAGTACACACTCAGAAATGGAGAGGAAGACTGTGAGAGAGAGTGTATGCACTGTGAATTTATAGGGGTCTGGAGTCAGAGGTTAGATGACAGGCTAACAGTCGGCATCCTAGTCTAATAGCAGAATCGGGTGACAGGAGCCATACTGAATGGATTACATTCTTTTAAGTACTAGTATAACTCAAGCAGTGTAACCATTCCAGCAGTTCTTTCGCTGCCTGCGTCCGTGTAACAGGGGGATTAACGGCACCATAAATTAAACTTTTTACCTTCTCCAGCCCCAGAATCCACCCACTGTTCCTTGAAAGAAGTAGGAAATATGGGCATTAAAAGTGCATGTGTTTCTGCTGGAGTCATTTTTTAGTCATCTGAGCCCGGGTAGCCATCTTAGCCCCCACAGAGCCATCGGCCATCTTGTTTGGCCGCCCAGTGGCAAAGGACTGATTTATAATGTCTGTCTGCAGCCTCCTACCTGGCCAGGCTGACATGTCTGCCAGCTCCCCTGCCTCCTGCTGGGCTCCAGTAAGGTCATGGACTCCATTAGTAGATACACAAGTGCATTAATACAGCATAAGAACTGATAAATAGTTCTTTTACTTTTACTGCTGCTCTGTTGAATGTTATTATGTTGCTTGTGGTCACAAACTTTTAGGCAACTTGGCTAAACTGCGCCGAGCACTTTGCTCTCTTTCATCTTACTGTACCTGTTATTGTGTTGGTGGTGGTTTGGTTGATGGCTCAGACTGAAATGAGCACTCGTCTTTCTCGCCGCTGTCAGATTAACTCTGAATGTTGACACACAAGACAATTGCTGTGGACACAAAGCAGACCCACAGCACACAAATCAACCCGGAGCTGCGCTCGCTCGTGTGCCGCGATGATGATGATCTAACGTGACAATTAGTTTGGATTGATTCTCAAGGCCAGCTGAGAATCCAGGGCATCACTGCGCAACGCTTTGTGTGTCTCTGTGTGGGAGCGCCTTCACATCCAAGTTTGTGCCTGAATGAGAAATAAGCTTTTTGCCCCCCCTCTCTTTACATACAAAACATTTTTGCTTAATTAGGCTGCAGGTCTTGAAGGGTTATTTATGTTTTCCTTACCGAATCAAGTTCCTGAAAATGACTCGTTCCAACTTCAAGTTTAGGTTTCAGTTTTCCGTTTAATGCGAGCCCAATTCAACACACATGCGGCTGCTGATTGAAGCGTCTCCCGCTGAATCGCCGCAAAGCATGTCACAAAAACCGCAGAGGACAAAAAGCTCTAAATTAGTGTCATTTGCTGCTTTTAGAACTTAACATTCTGCCTCGTCATTTCATCGGCTACGGTTACTTGCTGATTGATGCTCCCGACTCGTTCAGTTTCAGCTTCCACTATGCGCTGCGCTCTTAATAGACTCCAGCACATGACTTGATTTGTGTACATGTGAATCCCGCGGGACCCGTTCGGCCGCTACAGTTTGCAGGAAAAGCAGATGAGACGAGTAAATCTCCGGGCCTCGCTGTGGGGAGCCATCTTTGTTGCGGGTCGGGGTCTGTGTGCAGAAAAACCCCTCAGGATGGCGGCGCTGACCTGAGATTTTTTGTCGGATCGCTCGACCTCGCGGTACGAGCTTTGCTTTGACGGTAGAGACAAACTGCCCCCAGATCAGCGGCTTATTCAGAGACAATTTATGCACACGCTACCAAGTTGAAAACCTTTGAGTTTGACCTTTGTGGGACACTTAACAGATGACGCTGGTAAATAATTGATTTTGCATGATGGAAGCGAAGAGTTAAGAAGGAAGTTCTCTGATCATCTTTCACAGGCTGTGCTCCTCAGCCGTGATGGCCAATACCTGCTGACAGGCGGCGACGGAGGCGTAGTATCTGTTTGGCAGGTCCACAACCTCAAACAGCTGTTCACCTATCCGGGCTGTGACGCAGGAATCCGCTCCATGGCCATGTCACATGACCAAAGGTAACGTGCTCAAACAAAAGCACATGCATATATACAACAGTGGCTATATTTATTTGAAGTTTGCTCACTTGGACAAAAACGAACAGTCTCTAGCTTTGATGGTAGTTTCATTTTAATGGAGAGAGACAGAATACTAACCAAAACTTTAGAAAAGACACATCGCATAAGAGTTATAAATTGATTTGCATGTCATTGAGTAAAATAACTATTTGATCTCCAAGCAAAACATGACTCACTACTTAGTGGAGAACCTCTTGGTGGCAATCACAGCAGTAGGATGTTTCTTGTGGTTGGTCACACGTCTCTTGGGGGTTTCTTTGCTGCTGCTTAGCAGCTCAAAGTTTCAACTCCTTCCAGAGATTTTCTAAAGGACTGAAGTCTGACAATTGGCTGACTACTCCATGACCCTGATGTGCTTCTTCTTTAGCCACTCCTTAGTTGTCTTGGTGATATGTTTTGGGTCATTGTCATGCTGGACGACCCATTCACTACCCATCATCAAGTGTTCTGGCTGAGGGAAGGAGATTAAAACATTTTATGGTACATGGCCCCATCCAGTCCCTTAGTACAGTGAAGTAGTTGTTAAGCCCCAAAGCATTATGGGTCCACCTCTGTGCTGAACTGTGAGGATGGTGTTCTTTGGGCTGTACTCCACATGAGTTTTCATATTTTTTCTGTTTTCAAGTAGTTGTCCCCTACTCACCAAGCGTCTTGTAGCCCACGTAGCCTTGTGCAGGTCTACAATCTTGCCCCTGACGTCCTTTGACAGCTTTTTGGTCTCACCCACGGTGGTGGAGAGGTTTTAATGGAAGAAATTGATTCTGTGGACAGGTGTGCTTCATACACATAACTAGTTGAAGTCAGGCGTGATTGTAATTTGTAGGAACCAGAGTTCTGGTTAGTTTGTAGAGGATCAAATACTTATTTCACTCAATATGATGTATAACTTTTGTGTAATGTCTCTTTCTAGATTTTTGGTTGATTTTCTGTTTTTGTCCATTAAAATTAAAAAGGTTAGAAACTGTGTTTTTGGAAGTGAGCAAACTTACAAAATTAAAATTTCCTCCACTTCAAGAGAGCAGGCAAACCATTAAGCTCACCTTCACGGCCTCATGATGTTCCCTCCTAACATTCCTCAGGTGCATCATAACCGGCATGGCGTCCGGAAGCATCGTCCTCTTCTACAACGACTTCAACAGGTGGCATCACGAGTACCAGACCCGATACTGAGGGGGAAATCAGCAGCGACTTGACTGACAAGAGTTGAGGTGGGGGCGGGGGAAATCCAAACTGTTGCAAGTGTGAACTCTTATCAAAAGCACTATTCTGTCTATATCCTGATATCCTGAATGTAACGAAAGAAGGAAAAAACCCCAACATGTCCTGTTATTGCAAAAGAATCAAACTATTTTTAAAAAGGGCATTGCTATATTTTGTAGATCAGATAGAAAATTTTCATACCAGTCTTAGGGTGGGGGTTACGTTACTTTACGGTTAAAAACAAATCTATTTTTAGCTGTAAGAGTCTATTTTCTTCTCAAAATAAGAAACGAGGGATTTGTGGGAAGTTGGTGAGAATCATTTCTCTGTGACGTAAAAATCCAAATATTTGTGTACTTTAGGGTGAATGATTTTTTTTCTGTAGGTGTGTATGTGGTGAATAAATATGAAGCTGTCATTCATTTTAACATGCTTTTCCTGTTTTGGCAACACAGCACATAGACATAAAGTGTTTGAGTAGATGAAGCACAGGAAGATATTGAAGAGGGAATATACATTTATATAAATAACTATATATAAAATGTTTAAATGTAGTCCTCCATATTTAAAATTTTTACTCCCTCTGTACCTCCGTACTTGCTGAGAGATTACGTTTGCGTGCATGGCTCACTACTCATAAAACATCAGTGCAACCTCTTTGCGTTATTTAATACTTTGAACATCAAAAACATAAAACTTACTCTGTAATGTTAAAATCTGCTTTCAGCTCCTTTTAAGATTTATATCCTTTATGACTGAGTAAGCAGTGAATCTTGTTTTATTTTTCCCCCGTGCTAAAATCAAGAGCTGAGGATTCAGCTCAAACCACCTCAGCACAGAGTCCACTTTGAGTCTAGTCTCCAAAGCAGCAGATGAGCAGTGAAAGCTGGAGCAGCGAGGGGGAGGGACTTACCATTTCCATCTTTTCCTCTCTTTTCATCACAGAATGAGTGATCGATGTGATTCAATACTTAAATGCTAATCACACACATTCTTTTGATCTTTAGACAGTCGTCCTCTTTGATTTTCAGGAAGCATTCCTTTCTTTAAAGTTGCATTTCTAAAATGGTGTAAATCTCCAGCAACACGGGAGCTACTTTTATCAACCAATCCTTTTTTTTTTCTTCCAATCAGTTTGGAGTGTTTTTGTGTGATGAGTTCTGACAATAAAATGGAATTTTATAACCTGAATTGTCCTTTGGTGTATCTTTTATAAGGTGTGACTGAGCCCCCCCTAGTGGTAACCCACACATCCAACACAAAAACAAATACTAATTTCAAGTCTTTATTGCAGAACTGCTCTAAAATAGTGGGACATTAAAAGCAACCACTCTGTGCCTCATAAAAACCACTGATACATTTGCTCTTCTCATACAGTTTTTGCTTTACAAACTGTTAAAGCATGAAAATCTACTTTGACTACATATACAGTACATTGGAGAAAAATTAGGCCATGTAGCAACTTGAATTTGCGAACAGAAAGTATTCATGCAGTGAAAAGACCGGTGCTAAACCAGCGGAGGATTTGGCTCTGCTGACAACAGCTGTGGAGTTAAGAACGAGGACAAAACAGGTCACTTTATTTGTTTTTATGCTGCAGAGAGTGAGATCTGGTTTTGATGAAGGTAATCTATAAGCTGTTGGCCAGTGATCGAGTCCAAACTCAATAATCATAACAGGATAATCATTCCTTTAAATCCAACAGAACATGTAGTTTTACTCTCACTGGACACTTTTTTTAGGTACACCTTACTAGTTGGACATTCACACCTACAGGCACCAATTTAAGAATCATTAACCTAACACCACTAACTGCATGTCTTTGGACTGTGGGAGGAAGCCAGAGTACTGGGAGAGATCCCCCACAGACACAGAAAGGCCTGGGCCCTTTGGAATCAAACTTGGGACCTTCTTGCTGTGAGGCAACAGTGCTAACCACTGCGCCACCTTCAGTTTAGCTTTTATCGTTTGAAAATGTTTCATTTTACTTTAGTTTTGATGAGTTCCAGGGTTACTTTTAGTTTTTTAAATTATTATTGTACAGTATGGAGGGCATATTTTTCTCGTCATTAAAAAAAATAAATAATTTTTTTTAAGCAGTTGAAACTCATCCAGAGTCTCAAACACGTCCATTAATACCACATCAGGCAAGATGTAATATTTTTTTTTAACCAGACTAACAAATACTAAATCTAAAGACCCCTTCTATATAATTTTGTTTAAATTAATTTTCAAAATTTTAGTTCAGTTAACTATAATAACCTCGGCTGGTACTAAAGAGCCTAAAATAAATAAACCCCCACACCATTACGCCACCACACGGGGCAGGATGGATCCATGCCATGTTGTTTATATCAAGCGGAAAATCAAGACTCAAACCTGACAAAGTGTCAATTGCAGCAGTTTAACAGGTGTGCCTAACAAAGTGGCCATTGAGTGTGCGTAGCTCATGACATAGTGGTGACCAGAGAGAATATAACAGCAAGTATGTTTTTCCTGTACAGTACCAGTCACGTCTGAGAGCCGTTTGTATTGAGAGTTTCAGTTCATTAAAAGTTACCGTGCAGTTCGGTTTAACATCTGTTGCATCTTTCTTCTCTTTACATGTACTCACAGCTGTAGTTCAGCACGCTACATACAAATAAAGCGTATGAGTGAAAGTTGCAGTCGTCTACTCAAACAAAGAGACTTTAATGACTCAAATACACATGTGGAGTACATTACTTTCCTTCAGTAGTGCCTGGACATGCAATGACCTTTAGCTAGTTGTTTTTAGATGTCCATCACACGTCTGTCTCCAGTCCATCATGAAGGGTAGAATTATACTTTGTGCTCACAAAAAAAAAAAAATTGATTTTATGCTTCTTTTTCCAAACAGTTCCAGTTACAGGGTGCTGCTGTGAGTAGAAACACTGTAACCAGCACTGTTTATAACTAACATTGGCTAATAAATCTAAGGAGTTGAGAAATGATAAAGAGAATAGATGAGCAGAAGAGGAAACTTTTCATCTTAAAACAGCAATTTTTCTAAGACTATTTTTGCAGCATTTCTCACTTTTGGAAGAATTGCAGAACACAATATTTGGCGAACTGCTGCACTAGAGGTCATTTGGATGTTACTGTAGACGTAGCTTCAAAATTGTGTGTGAACAGTCATTTCTTTCAAATTTAGCAGATCTGATGATTCCCAATTTTACACTCAAACACATACGTGGACCTAAGCTGTTTAAAACACTCTCTGACTCCTTAGCCATGGGCTACTTTGGCAGATATCACCTTTACTTTGTCGACACACTGCATACAATGCATGAAATTGTCAATTGGCCACTATCATCAGGATGACTTTACTACAGGTAGACAGTCTAGCAAATTTGGGACTTCGATATGGTGAAGTGATTGAAAAACGCATACAGAATCACACACAGTAGCCTCTCTAGGAGTTTGCTATGCGTTTGTACTGAATAACCCTTTAAAAGGGGGCCCTGGTGAATTCAAAACAAGAAATCTGACTAAGTAGTGTATGAATTCAAAAGACGAACCACTCAGAAGAACGATATTCAGTTCATTCCCTTTCAACATCCTCAATTAATAAATAAAAACATATATACAATCAACAGAGTACAGAAAATTCCTCATATCCTTTAGACATTAAAGCAATGTCTAAAGCGGGAAAAGAATATGAGGAGAAAAAGCATGGTCACAGCGGTCACTGGCTCAGTTTACATCTACCAGGAAATGCTAATTGAGATGTTTCATCCTATGGTTTCTGTTTCTGTTTGTGGGAAAAAGGAGACGTGGGGATAATAGTGTTTAGAGCTTCTCCATAAGTTCTTCGGCTGTTAAAGGGATGGGAGAAGAAGGGCAAAAAGGAGAGGGCGGGGTGGTGGATCTCAGAGGTGTGGAAGGAGGAGAGGGAAACAGGGTTGGATGGATAGGTGAGGGGGAGGAAGGCTCACATTTTGTTGGGGATGAGAGAGGGAATAACACAACGGGCTGGATCGGGGAGACAGTGGGTGAGGAAGGCTGAGATGCTGCTTGTTTGGTAGGACAAGCAGAGGGGGCATTTGTGGCCAGTTCGGTCGGAGATGCCAGGGAAGGATGGGAGATGGGTGCAGAGGGAGCTATGCATGCGAGAACAGCAGGAGGACACGAGGGTGAGGTAGACTCTAAAGACGAGCAGGGGGCAGCAGTTGGGGAGGTTTCTATTTGTGGCGGAGAAGAAATGAGCAAAGAGTTGATGGGACAAGTTTCAACAGAGGGTGAAGGAGAAAACTGAAGTGAACTTAAAAGATTAGAGGTGGGCAGGTCAAGCTTAGCAGCTAATGTGTGGCTGTGATTCGGAGAATCGGAGTGGGGAGGTGTTGATTTGGACGTAGTATCGGGCCTAGCAGTTTCTGTTGAAGCCAGCTCGTTAGATTCGGGTACTTTGGCAAATGGTGACGCCGACTGGTCCGGAAGAGCAGATGGGACTTCAGTGCCATGCAACAGGGGTGAACATGGCACCGCTTGTGGGCCTGGACAACAACGGGCCGTGAGCTGAAGGGTCTCCTTATCTAGCGCTGTGTTCTGGAGGAACAAAACAAACCATCAGCTTGACGCGCGTGCATCCAGCAACATCAGTCAGAACAGAAAGAGATACTGCGGGTTGATCTCAGGAAATCATATTCATTTAGCATAAATAATCCTTCTGTGTTTGTTTTTCTTTTTTTCAGAACTACTGACCCAGCTTTTAGTGAGTAAACAAGATGAATGAATAAATAAGCTAATGGAAATAAATGGACACAAAAGAACTGAAAGATGTTCACCAAAAGAAAGTATGCTTTGCACAGAAGAACGAGAAGAAATCCTCATCAAAGTGCTACTCTATGTACAGACGAAGGGCAAATGAGAAAGGGAACTTTTACTTTGTACGGATGCCTAATGGTTCACTTTTACATAAATCAACCAAAATTACACGTACTTGAGAATACTTTTAAGACAAAACTAGTAAATGTAACGTTCCTCACTTGCCCTTTTGCTGAATCTCAGCAGCAGAACAGACGAGGCGTAGCATCGTGTTAGTACATACCATTGCCTTGGAGCTAAATCAGAGGGACGAAAAGCAGGAAGGTGGCGGGGGAGGTGGGGAAGAAGCAAAAAAGGGACAGAGACTAGTCTTACTCACAGCTTCACAAAGAAAAGTCAACACAACAAGCATGACAGCCGGTGGACAGTTGTTCCAGCTCAGTGCTGCTGCGGCGTTTCAAGTCAAACTACTCCAAACCAAAAGGCTCCTTCAGAGGACTGACGTGGAACAAACTGTGAAACCTTCTGTAAAAGGGTTAGTGTCAGCGAGTGCTGCATAACAATCAGAGGACTGAGTGGATTAAATGTGGATTTAGTTTTAAAAGAAAAGCCTGTAATCACTCCAGATTTTTTTAAATTGTTATCACTGTCAACAAATCCCAGTGAAATAACTCAATCAGTAAACTGTTGTTTAAGGTCTGTTGCTGGGTGAGAGATCACCGACTCCCATACCTCACATACCTCAGAGTGAAATGTGGAAGTTAAAGAACTGAGCACAGTTTTCTGAGCAGGAAGTTATAATAGATAAATTGTGACAGAAGAGTTAATAAATGATGATTATTAAATATCTTGATTTTTAGTTAATAATCTGGACAAACAAATGAAACTGTACAAAATATAAAACTAAATCCTTTGGAGAAAATAAACGGCCAGTCGTTTGGCTAAAGGCATTGCTGGAAGTTAAGTGTTCGGATTAATAAAAACACCATTAGGCAGTTTAATAAGAGTACATGCAGAGACTGTATATAAACGATGGATATAGTTTACAGGTGAGTTTTGTTATTGTTTGTTTTTTAATGGCGGATACGGTGGATTATTTCAAAAAGACATCTGCTTGCATAAAACGCCCCTTCACATACAACGTTACGACGGCTCCACGCCGCTCTGCAACTTTGGCTTGGTGTTGAACTTTGACCGTGGCGTGCTGTGACGTACGTTCCAGATCAAACTAGGAAAAAGACTTGCAGGGAGCAGCGCATGTATGACCCCAATTCCCCAAAAGTTGGGTTGGTATGTAAAACATAAATTATAATGGAATCATAGAAATCTCATAAGAGAACACAAAAATGTTTTAACTGAGACACTTTGCTCGTTCCGTGAATGTTATTCCAGCAACGTGTCTGAAAACAGTTGAGATTGGAGTAACAAAATCCTGGAGAAGTAAGTGCTACTAAACAGAAACAGCTAGAGGAACGTTTTAGAACTAACTAGGTTCATTTGCATGAGGTCAGTAATGTGACTGGGACCAGATGATTATGATATACAAAAACTGTATAACTAATGACGACTTATTCAAGTGGGCCAAACGTATTCTACACTTGTGTTATTCTAAACACGGATGCTATAATTAGTTACCATGCTGGAGCAAAATGTTAATATTCCCTTTTTCTTTTAAACAAATGCATCATTGTCCGTCTCTGCGGCAGCTTTGCTAAAAGAAGTGCTCGTCCATTTAATAAGACATCACTGGGTGTTTTTAAAAAGTTGGATTTGTAGACAACAAAGACATCACAGAACAATCTGGCCCTATTTCTTTAAAATGCGCAAATGGAGTCTTACATCCAAGCCATAAAGACACTTTGAATCCTTCTCTGCAACTACGACTTTGTGCCGGCACACTTCCAAAGCTCTTCCTCAAGGTGGCGCCAGACTATCAAAAATGGGAATGACTGCTAAGCAGCCAATCATTGATTTATTAGATCAGCAGTTACAGAAAGTTGACTTTAAGACAAATGTGATGACTGACATAATAAATACAGAGAAGGAGGCAAACTGCATTGCGCTAGCAGTGTAAACATGCTTTTAAAACCTCATTGACAGTATGATCCAACCCCCCCCACCCCCAAAAAACGAGAAAAAACAACATTTTTATTTCAATCATATTATATAAAAGTTGTGACCAGCACAAAAGGAGCTGAATGTGAATAAAAGGAGCAGAATGACACATGTGCAGAGAGTCAGGGGGTTAAATCCAGGACACAGTGTTAGTGAGTGCAGTCACTGCAGCTGGCAGCCCAAGAAGTGGAACAGGGGGCCGGAGAATGAAGCAGGAAGGAAGGGAAAGGGAGGGTGAGACGGGAGGGTGAGGAGGGAGACTGGGGGGTGGGGATGGGAGTTGTTGTAGATGGAGGAAGAGTGTGAGCGGAAGGGTGATAGCTGGAGAGGATGACGGGAGTTAAGAGGGGCGGTGGTAAGAAGTGTGTACCCAGCTCTCAGCTCCAGGCGTCCCCTGTGGTCCTGGGTCAGGTGTGAGGGAGGGGTGAGGATGAGGGTGGAGGAAGAGCGTGGAGAGGAGGAGGAAGAGGAGGAGCCGAGGCCAGGGCCCGCAATTACACCTCAAACTGTCAAATGAGATTTACAACAGAATGAGGCTTGGAGTGCCAAATCAAATTTCTAATCAAAGACAACTTCTCCTTCCTCCACCCCCACCTTCCTGCTTTCACTTTAGACAGACGAAGAGAGACTGTGCTCAGCTGATGGGTGGTGTGACCTGATGAGGAGAGGAAGTCAAACTGTACAACAGGAAATGATGTAAATGAGGCTTGAAAGAGACAAGATGAAGAGCTGCCCATACTACGGGAATAAATTGTGTATTTCTGTCTCTGAAGTCTTAAGACTTATGACTTCATCTGCGTCTTCCTGGATGAACACGAGATCAGAAATTCTTGGCCCAGTGGTCAACTAAACCTTTGTTTAGCTAGGAGCGCAATCTTGTGTATTTGGGTCAAACATTCACAATCACGCAGTAAATGCTTGGAAAAGGGCCTGACATGTTCATCCCACTGCAGGCTCCGGGTCACTTACAACTAAACCCACACCAAGACATCAGTATTGCTGATTTAGATTTAGGAGATCGTTGAAAGGTAATCTCATTACAGTTACAGGATTGAAGAAAAAAAAACCCTCCAGAAATATGTAACAAATCATGTCTCCTTCCAGGTGCTTACCATGATGACTGACACCCCGGCTGTGGTGGTGCTGTGCTTTGGCGCGGTGTTAAAGTGCGTCTTCAGTTTACCTGTCACCTCCATCTTCATGTTATTCTCCATGATTGCATCATCCTTGGCACACACAAACACACAATACTGAAATCCACACAGAAACAAATAACCACAGTCTCGGGCTGTGTTCATACAGATAGTGTTAGAGTACCGTGACCCATGGATGTGAGAGAACATCTTGTGCTGTGTATCGAGCCTCAGCGTTGACCTGCAGCATCTTTCCAATCAGCTCCTGCAACATTTCACAACACTAGATTAGTTCAGCATTAAAGATAAATTTCCTTTAGACTTAAAAGTCTTTTCGGGGGGTTTGGCCACCAGGCGGCAGTGTAACAAGAAATAAGTGCCAAATTGATATGTGACCGATGAAGCTGTTCTAGCAAACCCGTGGGCAGTGTTGCCAACTTAGCGACTTTATCGCTATGTTTAGCGAGTTTTCAGACCCCCTTAGCGACTTTTTTTTCTAAAAAGCGTCTAGCGACAAATCTGGCGACTGTTTCTGGTGTTATTGGAAAATTATTTATGACGACTTTTTGACGTGAAAGCGCATATCGCTCTTCTCGACAAACAGCGAGTGCCGTGGGCAGGATAGTCCTCCCCCAGCTGCTATCAGGGCAGGAGATGTTCACACCTATGCTTCCAAACTGCAAAT